GATGGATGGAGGGATGGAGGGATGGATGGATCAGTGTACCGAGTATCTTGATATCAAACGTAGCCGTCGTCTACATTTCCATCTCTCTTTCGCTCTCTTTCCGTCTTTCTTCTGCGAATTTAGCTCTGGCGCACTGTGCGATGGCACTGCCAGCTGTCCTTTCCCAAGGCCGCAGGGGGCATTGCTTGCGACGTGCCTTCTGCGTCAAACCGGGGGCGGGGCCTCCGGTGTGGAAATTCCCTGTAAAGAGCTGTGATAGGCTGTCACGAGGAGCCACGCAGAAAAGGACTGGGTTAGGAGGCAGCAGTGATGCTTTTGAACAAAGATTGGGACATGTATCAGGAATACTAGAGAGACAACCGGCACATTTTGTCTAGCACAGAGATAGATATAGGATAGATTTGGCTCTGTAGAAATCTTAGAGGGCTTTTCACTCACACATCCTCTCATCTTGCTCATTGTTCTGCTCTCTGCTTTGATTCAGCTTCACATTACAGTGGCTGATGCTGAGGAAACTATAGGAGGAACGTGAGATGGGCTGTAGACATGCATCGAATGCTGGTTTTCACCTTCAGACACGTGACACTGATCGGGGAGGGTGGCACTGCTGAGAGAGCAACAGGGACAGAGAGAGGGAGAGGAAGGGCAGATAAAGTAGTGGCTGGTCTACAGGTGTAGAGAGAAAGAGAGGGATTTAAAGTGACGGGTGAGGCGTATGGAGGGGGAAGGGCAGCCTGGCTCTATATCCTGTTACAGGATAATGACCCGAGGCTCACATTACCATGGCTCCTGTTTCCTCTTGCTGCGCCTTGTGGGATTGGTTATCTGGGGGACAGGAGACAGATGGGATAGGGGGAAGAGGGATGTGGTTGGGTGGATGATCGTCATAGGACATTGAATGAAGGGTGAGTGTGGTGGTGTAGAGGTTGGATAGGGATGGAGTATGTGGACTGGTGCCCCAGGAGAGATGGGTAGGGATTAAAGAGCGATGAAGGTGTGCTTGTAGCACTAAGGCTTTGTCAGAAGGTCATACTGGCTGGTGACGAGGGGTGTGGTTGAGCTGCTTTGAATGCAGTATGGCCGAGGAGAAGCTCCTGTTAGTGATGACTTTCTAGAATAGCGTGTGCTTTTATATTGGCACGAGTGAGGCCTGTGCAGTGATAGAAAAGAAGTTAGTGGAAGGTAGTTCAGGAGTTGGATGTGTGTGGCCTCTGCAGAGGCCCAGCCCTCAGTTTGGTGCAGAGTGCTGCACATCCCTCCCCACTGCACCTGCTGCCTGATGCTGATAGGCTGCACTAAACCACAGCTGATCTTTCCCATTCGTTACAGGGACCAATAGAAATGTCCATACAGGATCTGATCAACCACATGGTTTCTCTGACCGTACAGCCAGCATTTGACCCTGTGGCCTAGGGCACAATTAAAGTCAATATAGTGATCCTTTGAAATGGTCCTCCATTGTCCCTTTCAAGCCTCTTGGGGTTGTCTGATTAATAGATTGTAATGAGGGCAATGTCCTTAGTGAGAGAAATTTCTCTCGTGCCTCAGCAAAAAAAACCTGGAGTTAGCCTCCTGGCTAGTGTGAGACTAAAAGAAACAAAGCCTGAGCCATGAGCTCAGTAGCAGCTTGTGTAATGCTAATAAAATGTAAAGGTCAGTGCTTTCTCCTTCATACATTACTTTAAAACAAGATTACAGTAGACATAGTGACAGTTTTCCAACTCTAATGTGTTAATGGGCTCCCATAATAAGAGTGATTCAGAGGGGTTAGGTTGCCTGACTACAACGACATGACTAATTCAGGGCGTTGTCCTGGAGATGTGTGTATGTGTGTGAAGTGTGTGTGTCCCTGTGTGAATACACCAAAGCCCAAATTGTAACACTGGGCAGCCACAATGGACAAAGCCTTGTTAGAATAAAAATAAAAAACAGATCATTTTTCAACCAACACTTTGCCGCATTTGGTGTGTATTTTGTTACCATGTAGTGCTGCTATTCAGAAACAGTTACAGCATTTCCCATTTATTCAGACATACTGAACATAACAGATCCCAGTTTGGAATCACAAAGCAGCACAAGTGCTTGAAAATCGGATATATAAATGATTATATAGTTTAGTTGCTTTAATAGCGCACTTTTAAAATAAAATGTATTATTATTATTATTATTATTATTATTAATAGTCAGCAGCTGTTGTGTATGGATGTGCGTGCATGCACATCTGCACATGTCTGTGCGACCAGCTGTCTGCTCAGAAGTCCTAAGATGCCCTCACTCACACCATGGCCAGATGCCATGTTCGCTACGAGTGCCAACGAACCAAGATTTACAATGCTAATCTAGTCCAGGCCACATACACACATACACACACACACGCACACACGCACACACACACACATACACACACCCACACTCCAAGACACTGCAGGGCAAGTATTTCCCTCAGAACTCACGAGGGAGGACAGTTCATTGTTTAGAACTAAAGCTTCACAGTTACAGCATTGTCTCTGTGGGATGAACAGATGAAGATGCTTACAGGGTGGACAGATGGACAAGACGTAACAGAGTGGAAGGGGGCAGGAGGGGTTACAACTTAAATTGGGATTTCCATTCTGTCTTGTGTTTGGATGTGTTTCTTGCTTTTGTTTAGTTTTTTAAAGAAAGCACGAAAGATTATTTGAGTTAATCTCTCTCTGTTTCTTTGTGTTTTTGTGGTTTAGTGATTAAGAGTAGAAATTATAGTAGATTAGTGCTCTTAAGCAGCCACAATCTTTTTGTTATACATTGATCTATTTAGGTACACTGTTCCATTGGCTCAATCCATTATGTGTACTTTCCATTTTAATTACCTGACAGTAGGAGGAGAATATTGTAGTCACTGACTGCTTCATCCAGAAAAGTTTTATTCCATCTGTTCCCTTTCTTATTGATGTTCGAGATCTGGAGTCTCCTCCTTTTGATGTCTGAACACTTTGTAAAATAGAAAGATGATAAGATAAGAAGCCTTCGTATCACTTTCAAGGCTGATACAGATAAGTGAAACAAATATCTTGTCAGTCTCTTTTACAAGCTATTCAACTCCTAATCATTAGTTAAAAGAAACCATCTAATCCATTCACTGACTGAGTACTGTTAGAAGTCATTCACCATTGGCACCAGGACATAAAGATAAATGTGGAGACTGCATACCTGTATAGGAATTTTA